TGAAAAATAGGAGTTTTCTTTTTGCTCTCACTTCCCATCCTCATCTACTCTTCCATACTAACACATCTCTTAAAGGAAAAGCTCATCCATAAAAATAGCAACCCACTAAATTCCAAGTAAATACCTTTTTTACCGCTTGAGTCACAATTCAACTAGTAAAATAAAGAAATTTCACTTATGCCCCTATAAAAATAAAATAAAATCAAATAAAATAAAATCAAATTCTAATTAGCTCTATTCTTGAACATCTAAATATGCAATTTGCATAAAAGGATAACCTCATGTGGAGGTTTTGGGGATTATCATAATAAAGATAAAGCATTTGACCCATATAAATTCAAAAGTATGTAGGGGGCTCAAGTTTTCCAATGGTTAACGTATTCCTCTTCTTGTGTGTGCCTCTTTGTTGCAAGAGAGAAAAGTGATCGTTCTTGTGGAGAGAAGAAGAAAAAGAGAGAGAACCATGTTGGAGTGAGAAAGATAAAGGGAGTTCCTGTGAGTTGTAATAGTGCCTCTTAGAGAGAAAGTCCGAGAGAAATAACCTACACAGAGAATTTATTCTCTGCGAGAGAGAATCTCGAGGAAGGAGAACCTCAGTCACAAACTGTGGATAAGTGGCCATTGTGCAAAGAAGGTCGTGACCAATGAATTGTCAGTGACCATCTTGGCTAACAATTAATGACTTTGATTGCCAGTGACTCATCTTAACTGATAGTGATACCTTGACAGCTGGATGGAACTCGACTGTCGATGAGTAGACAGCCAGTGGGAGCTTGACCGCCAATGAGACCTTCACAACAGGTGCGAACTTGACCATCGATGAGACCTTCATAGCTAGTGGGAGCTTGGCTGCTTACGGCACTCTGACAGCGGGCGGAACCTTGACCGCCGACGAAACCTTGACATAGGGTGGGAGCTTGATAGACGGTGAATCTCCCTAACCACTGGTGAAAAGAAGAGAGGAGTGTGAAAGCTTGGTATATATGGATTAAAGATAGATTCTACTACCAAGATGGAAGCCAAAGATGGAAGATCTTCTATACTGTAAGGACTTGTACACACTCATTGAAAAGGTAGAACAGAAGCATGAAAGTATGACTGAAGATGAGTGGAAGAGATTGGACCGAAAGGCTCTCAGAACTATTGATAATCGTTGGTTGAAAATGTGTTCCACCATGTATTGATGGAGACATTCGTCAAGTTTTGTGGATCAAGGTACATGACTTGTATGAGAGAGACCGTTAGAAAGAAGACGTTCTTGATCTGGATATTGGTGACTATGAAGTTCAGGGTTTTCCAACATCCGAATACTATGTCTAAATGAATTTTTAGGTGCACCTTACTTAAAATAGTATAAGGTTGACACCTTATAATTTTTTTTTATCTTGATTTGATCTTTGCAATATATTTACAAGGGTCATGTAACCAATGTTCCATTAGCTAGTCTGAAAAAATGTTCAAATATTCCTCGATGTTGTCGATTTACGCTATTTTTAAAGCTTTAAACTTTATAAATAAAGATGAAAATATATTTTAAGGTTATGACAAAGATTTTCAGTGTTGAAACTATATTTCTGGATACTATTTGAGGGTAGGCTCAAATTTGATTGTTTAGATCCTAGGCTCTATACAAACCCAAGTTTAAATGGTCCTTACATTCTTGAGATGTAGTTTATATAGCAGCGCAAGAACTGCTCGAGCTTAGACTACTAAACTTTGCCTAAGCACCCTGGCCTAGCCCTGAAATCTGGGCCAGGTGTATAAGACCAGGCCATGGGTCTTTGCTGGGATGGACCCGACCATTTTTATAATTTTATGAATTTAGAGAAAAATTAATATTCACTGGCCGAGTTTGGTCCAACCCATTAATATGGCCAAGCTGAGCCACTTCATCCAATAATAGGGCTGGGCTAGGGCCCTTTAGTCCAGTCAAGGCCGGTCCAAGAATGACAGAACAAAATCACACATGATGATACACCAATAAACATTGTCAATAAGGCAAGTGAAGGAATCCCAATTAAGCTAAGCGTAGGGTAGGGTCCTTCCTCTTAATATTAAGATGGATTTTGTATCAAGAGTTTCAAATGTCTACCATCTCGAACGCAACAATCTTGAATTTGACAAAACAAAAATGAATTTCGAGCTTTAAAAGTAATTCTTGCACCCATTTTTCTTTTTCTAAATCGTAACTTAAGTTCAAAACATCGGCTTGGCCAAGATACTCGGACCCTTGCCGAGGCGATGTACTCGGCCGAGTCAAGCTCTTTTTTTTTATTAAACAAAAAAGCATGCAAAGTAAATGTATATATAAAACGAGCAATTGATTTTAATCACTAATTGTGCGCTGGCTATGTGATAGCGTGTTGTCCCTTGTCTTTTACCTGCCCTTTGGAACGTTGTGGGATCCCACTTCCCCTACGATTATTTTTCATAACTCTATTAAATTTTTTTTTTTTAACTCTATATTTTTTAATGGCTTGGATTTATTTTGGAGCGTTTTTCTATAACTCTCTTAAAAAATAATTATATTGCCTAAGTCTATAAGAGGTATTGAGTTTGATTGGGGGAGGGGGCTACAAATTATTTTTTGGAACACTTTTAGTCTTAACTCTTTAAAAAATAAAGTTCTTACATCTCTTGAATTCTAAAAAAAATGACCCCTCATTTTTTTCATATTTACTACTTTATTTGGAGCTCTTTTTTTATAACTCTTAAAAAAAAGGAAAAAAATCTTACATATATGAAACTCCAAAAGAGATAAAAATCCACATGCAATCTAATAAAAGCGACATTTATTTTTAGAATTAATTAAGGAAAAATATCTTATTATCCCCTATTTTAAACTTCTATATCTGATCAGACTCAAGAATTGAAAATATTACTTCTAAGCAAAAAGACTCTATCTTCCGATCCCCTTTGACTATATATTATTGACCTCAACAACTTATGAAATGACTCTCTCCTTTTCTCTCTAAAACTCTCTTTTTCTCTCACATCATCGTCTCTCTCTCTAAACTCCATCTCTCTTTAAAACCCAAACTCCATCTCTCACACACATCATCGTCTCTCTCAAAACTCCATCTCTCTCCCTAAACTCAAACTCCATCTCTTTCTCTCTCTAAAACTCCATCTCTCTCTCACACATAAGAAGGTGTGCTCGCATTCGAGCTCAAGCTAAACCCCTTGGCTGGTAATCTTACTGAGAAGTAGAGAGAGAGAGATGGAGTTTGAATATGGTGTCATTTTAATGTTTGTTTGGGTCAAAACTTTATGTTCAAAGGGGTCAGGGGGTTGTAAGATAGAAAAGTTGAAAACCTTTTGCTTAAAAGTAATATTTTCAATTCTTGGATCTCATGAGATATAGAAGTTAAAAATAGAAGATAATGAGATATTTTCCCATTAATTAAATATGACTATGATATCATCTCTATGATGTTATAAACCAATCAATATTAAAGCAAAAAAAACCATTGTTAGAAAAACCGGGCTATCTAACCGCTACCGCCTGGTTAGATCAAAACCGGCCACTGGCCAATTCTGGTTTTAGGTGGTTTTGGAGATTGGCAGGTATTTAAAAACAAATTCAAAATATATATATAAATTCTAAAAATAAGAAATTTGGTTTGTAATGAATTTTTCAATATTTTTTACATTATGATAAATATTAAAAATTGTTTTTGTCATTAATACTCACTTTAATTCAAAAATAGATTTGTTAAAATTCTTTTTTTTTTTATTTATTAATTTTCAACTTCATTTGAATGTGTTTTGTTTAAATCATTCTATATATGTTTTTCATATTTTAGTAGATTTCTTTTTGTATATTTTTTATTTTTTCAACACTTTTTTTTCCGCCCAGGACTTACCTGGTTAGAACAGTTAAATAGATTGGTTTACAAGTTAAGGCCGGTTAAACCGCTTTTGGACCCCATGTCCAATTAACCGTTCCGATACAATTTAATGAACCCTGGAAAAAATTCAAAGCAATATAAGGGTTTTCAAGTTATTTCAATATTTAATAATAATAATAATAATCAGAACATTATTGTTGATAAATTAGAGAAAAATATTTTTTTTAACAATTTTTTTATTGTTGATAGATATTAGGTTTATGACGGACAAAATCAATCAATATTTGATAAAAAAGGCCACGGATCTATATAGGGCTTTTGAAGATGATTTCAAGAGAGCTTCAAAATAAACTAAAAAAAAAACTATAAAGTAATTAGAGAGAAATAATAAAATTGATGTTAGCTCTTTGATGCATGAAATTAATCGAAAATAGTAAAACAAACTAATTTATATAGGGCTCTTGAAGCTGATTTTTAAATCTTCAAAACAAGCCAAAAATCTTCCGATTTCGTATAAAAATCATCAAGAACAATCGAGGTATAACAGGAAAAAAATCACGGTTAGAACCTCAAAATCGAAAAATTTAAGATGATTAAACTTGTTAAACATGAGAATCAACAGAAAGCTTTTGTAGATAACTTTGTTAGATTGAAAATAACCCATAATCAATTAATTACGTGGATAAATAAAAACGGAAGAGATTGGCAAAATTTTTTTGATGAACGAAGAACCCTAAAAACCTGACCATTTCGTGATAAATGTTGTTCAATTTGGGTTTTGATGACCCCAAATCTTATCATAAGCATTATATTGCTGATAAAAACATACAAAGATTCAAAAATCGATCAAAATCACTCACAAATTTAAGATTCTCAGTTTACAATAGTTTTCAATTTCATATTACAAAAAACTGAATTTTGTCTGTCAAATAGGAAAACTCGTGCCATTTTCACATTTTTTGAACTGATTCTTCCATGTTTTCAGCGATTCCTGTTCAGCGTAACCTTCACATATCTTCTTTGGATTGATTTCGACAATTATTAAAGATCCCAAGATCTTCTCTTTTTAATGTTCCAAATTCATGGATTTGAAATCAATTTGAGTTGTGTTTCAAGTTCTAAAATCCTCGAAACCAGGGCGAAGGCGAGTAAATCGAACAAATATTTTCCTTTACTCAGTTCTTATTTGTATATCAACCCAATTCTCTCTTCTAATCCAATGTTTTCTCAAACTAAGAACTCTGTACAAAACATGATGCTCTGTTTCTGCACAGGATCTCATTAAACAATGCAGCGCATATTCTAAGAGATGTATACCATCCTCCAAAAAATAATCCAAAAAAAAAACAGAAAAAAATGACAGAAAACCACTAAAAAATAAGGGAAAAACACAGTAAAGGCCTATCATGAGTCTGGGTTTGGAAGAGTTCTTGATCTTGTAGATGGTGGAGGAGAAAGAGAGAGTGAATGATCAGGTTTCCTCTTGTTGCTGGTGTGATTGTGGTTGTTTTTCTCTCTTTTCCTCTCAACATATTCTCTTAATCTCTTCACATCAGATAACTTCACAGGCTTCACTATGAAATCTTCGGCTCCTTCCTCTAAGCACCTTCTCAGCCATAAAAGAATAGGAAAAAATTATTCAAATTGCAATTTAAATTTGGGCCAAAAATTAATAAATAATTAGCTTCTACCCCATGATAATACTGACATTGGTCTTCCCGATGTTTTAAATATCATTCTGGTTTTCCTTAAAATACCCACTTCATTGAATATCGATGGTTCTACAATATCAATCTTCGATTTATTTTTTTTTAAAAAAATTATTAGGCATTAAATTTCATACGAAATTCTTTGGATAATGGCTAATATTTTACCCACATTTCAGGTTTTGACTAATAAAAACTTAGAAATGTTTTTATGGGATTTGAATACAAAAGAGTAAATGATAATAATCGTATGCATAAGAGTACAAACTGAATTATATTAGGTACTAGGGAAGAATTTTTTTTTTTTTGAGCAATTGATGCTAGCAATAGCTATGGTAATAGGTAAAATCAATTTAGTATAATTTTTAGGACTTCCCAAATAGAAATAAAAAGAAAAACTTTTCCAACAAGATCATGTATGAAATGTAAATAGCAAAATTATAAATTTGAAAATGAGGAAAATGGACCAATTTGCAAAGAATTTATAATGACCATGAAAGATAAAACTACTAGGTTGGATAGTGATTTTTAAAATCAAGTTTTGATTTGCACATGACATTATTGTCAACTTCATCATTTAAAAAATGTTCAACATATTTATGTTTCTAGTGGCATATAATTTCAATCAAGATTTTCTAATGTTAACAAAGAATTATTTCATAATACTTAAAATGAACATACTTCATCACCATAAATTTAATAATATAATATCCTGATAAAATCACCCCATGATAACATTATAATTGTCATTAATCCAACCATTTAAATACCCCATACCCCAAAAATATAAATAAATAAATAAATAATCTAATAAAAACTAAAAAAGAGTGGGTATTTGATATTGTACCTGTCAATTCGAGCCAATATATTTTCCGACGACATGACGACCACCGGAACCTCCCTGAATGTTGACGATTCCTGTGACACCCAAACACCAAACACAATCAATCACAAAGCCGAGAGAGAGAGAGAGAGTCTAGAGAGAGAGAGAGAGAAGAAAACACACCTTGATTTTCTTGAGCAGCTCGTAACCAGTCATCCCGGGCATACAGTAATCCGTAATAATCATGTTTACCTTCACACCCATAAACAAAAAACATGAGAAAAGAAACCCAACAATGGAGAAAGGTCTGAGATCAATCTGTTACATGATTTACTCATCAAAATCAAGAAATGTTCAGCAATGTTTGAGAGAGACAGCTATGGATACATATTAATATCACTTGTTCTGAACTTTTGATTGAATTTCACTTACATCGATATCTGCAGTTTTTTGCTCCTCATCCAATCCCAAAAACTGCAGTGCCCTTCTCCCACTGTCCACTGTCGTCACTGCAACCCGATTCCAAAATTCAGCACAGGAAGAGAGAGAAAGAGAGAGGAGAGAGAGAAAGTGAAGGTTTCTTTGAGTTTTTACCTTTGCAAGAGGAGATCCTAAGGAGGCGTTCGATGACCTTGCGGTCTACAACGCTATCATCCACGGCCAGGACGTGAAGCTGAGGAGAACTACTTTCTCTCTCTAACTGAAACATCTTCCTTGCCATTACTTTCTCTCGCTACAAAACCAGGAATTTTTGCTATCTCTCTCTCTACAAAACCAAAAAATTAGTCTCAGCAACTGCAAAACCGACTCTCCACCTCCCTGACCCCGTCTCTTCGCTTTATAAATAGAGACCCTTTCTCTCTCTAAATCTCTTTCTCTCTCTAAATCTATGTAAATCTAGCAGAATCATAAATTTGCATTTGAATTGGATACGAGAAACCTCTCGCACCTTACCTTTTACCCCTCTTACAATTCCACCCTTGCTTTTAGACTTGGACATGGAAAGCTGAAAGCTCCTTTCTACTTTTTAAGGCATCTCTTGGCCTCCTTTATTTCAATGATCCCTCTCTTTTTCTCATGTGCCGTTGCAATTTTCTCTTTTTTATACAAGTCTTTTCTATTTTTTTTGGAAAAAGTTTTGAAGAAGTCTTTACAAAAGCAAGGGAGATCTTCAAAATGCAATCAAAAAATTCAAGAGAATCCTTCAAGTGAATACAAAACAATTTTTTGTTGTAATATATTATTTGAATTGTTTTTTTTTAAGATTTCCGAATGTTATAGGTCTCCTATTGTGTGTATGATATTTAAATTTCATAATTTGGGGTAAAAATATATTTTCATGCTATGAGACGGATATCCGGCACCAAAACTGCATCTTCTCGGAATGTTTGAAAGTGCACTCTACTTTGCTTGTTTCCGGTGGACACCTTATATAAGCCCCACCAAATTTCTTTTTTTCCAAGCTAGATTTTCTATGTGTCGGTCTTCTGACCTAGATATAAATATGTATTAAAATGTGACATAGATATGAGCATCAAAAACTTAAAGTGCCAAATGTAACACATCTGTAAACCATTCAGAGCCTTAAGGAAATGTGAAACTTTAGACAATATTATATATTCAAAGAATATAGCTAAGTGACTTCAAATATTTTTTATAACAAAAATGTGGGATTCCAAGTAACCCCAAATATTTTTATATCAAAATTATGGTGAGAAATATCAACAGTACATAAAATAATTGTTAGTAAATTCACTTCGCTTCGGCTTATGAAGTCGAAGCTTTCATATTTTAAGCATAAAACGAAGCAAAGCGAAGTCTGATGCTGTCGCTTCGAGTTGTTTCGATTATATTCGGGTGTGCTTCAGCCAACAAAAAAAAATCATATAAAATTATTTTTTATTTTTTATATATACATTTAATTTATTTATACGAAATTAAAAAAATCTAAAATCTTCTTTCAAATCGACCAAAACACCGAATTGCTCTATTTTCTCACCAAACCAAAAAAGACTCTAGAACGAATCTGACATTATTATATAAAATACTCTAGACTTCTTGATAATGGGCTAGGGGTGGTAGTAGGAACGAGTTTTATGATGAAACCTCTAACTCCATTTTTGTTAAAAAGTAGGGCCCAAATCCCCATGATTTACCTTTTTCTCTTACTTAATACTTCCAAACTTGAGGGAGTAAATAAACAATATACTCCCGCATACAGAATATTTTGGTCATCATCAAAGAAGATCTAACATGGCAGTGAACAAACCCAAATCCCATTAGATTTTCGTAATCTCCAAAGTCCAAAAGCGAAGCATGTCAATTACCAAATAAGCCGGAAGGGCAATTATGCAACAAATCCGCCTCATGTCTCCCAAAAGAACGAGGGCATGATAGTAATTGGTCCTTTGTCTCTATGATTTCTGGGCCTGCCCAGTCTCTTGACCGATGAACCACTCGAAGACCGCGCCGTCATCTCTCTCCCTGACGTGACGTTACCTCGTTGACGGAGAGACCACCGGATGAAACCGGTCACCGGTTTCCTTCACCGGATACCGCCGGTTCACTCTAGGTGGCTGCCACCCGTCGATCGGCTATTTCGAGGTAGATCTCCAATTGACGATTGATCCTGTCATTTTTGTCTCTCACTCTCTCGAGGTTTCGAGGGAATCAACATAAAATAATAATATTTATAATATTAAATGAAAAATCAACGGTTAGAAAACTGGAGCTTGTGCCTCCGGTTTCGTGTTGGTGTACTTGGTTACCGAGTAAGGAAAATAGTTTGGTAGGGCTGCATCCTTATGAAATAAGTAAGGTGAGAAGTTTTTGTAAGGCCTAGGTTTTATGAAAACAAAATAAATCCTCACCTTCAATTGATGTGTCTGGAAAGTATTTTCGGCAACAGAAATATCTGTGATGGCTCTAAAGTTGATTTTGACACTGATAATAAAATTTGAAACTAAAAAATCGCAGAGTCTTGTGGATTTGTGGAAACTTGTTTTTAGGGTGAAATGCACGATCTAGATAATTTGTTACAATATGTATTATTTTTAGAATTTGAAATCCTAAATTCTTTTTACAACTATAATGCTCAAGTTGAGATGATCGATGTAGAGGTTTTCTAATACTTGAATTGCAATTATCGATGAATTATGCGGTAAGGGTTTAGTTATTTTAATAGGGCTGCAACCGTATCAAACTATTTTCCAATAAGTAAAGACCCGCCTAATGACTCATCAAATTTTGTAATTTAAGTATTGAAAAATCTTTAAAACTTATTATCTCGATTTGAACATCATGGTTCTGGCAAAAAAAAAAGAGAAAAATTTCAAACTTTAATAATAATATAAATTTTAATAAATTATCTACACTATTTATTTTGTCCTAAAAATAAGTGTTCAAAGATCCACAAGATCTATACGATTTTTTGACTTGCAAATTTTATTGTCGGTTGGGAAATTCCCTAAAGTACTTTCAATACAAGGATTTAAGATAAGGCATTATTTGGTTTCCATAGAGATTAGGTATTATAGAAACTTCATCCACTAAGTAATGCCCTTTCCCTTCTTATTTTATTAAACCTTTTTTTGTTATAAAAATGAAGTAAAGCCACACCTCTATCTCGATTTGGAAAACACTTTGAGCATCAAAACGTTTACCTTAAGAAATATAGATCTAAAAAATAGTCACTTTTTCTTTATAAAACTTCTTGAAAGTGAAATGTTTGCTTTCAATTCTTTCATAGACATTTCGTAATACTTTTCACATTGGTGGACTCCATCAAACAAGTGGTATTTGTTAGGTTAGCATAAGGCCATGTCTTACGAAAAAGCAGAGTCCCACCTTCAATCTCATCTACATCAATTAAATAAGATTATATCTAACTGCCAAAATTTAATTATATTTTTTGTTTTTAAAAATATTATATTTATCTAACATTTAGAGTATGAATTTAATTTTATAAGGGGAGCCAAATAAAACTATTAAAGAAATATCCCAAATACTACTAAATATATTGTGGTCAACATTTTTCATGAAATTATTCTTTTATTATTAGTTCACCTTATAAATATTAATTTACATCCCTTGGATACACTTAGATTCAATCTAAAATGTTGAAAGGCGCTTGTGGACACTATCCTGTCCCTAAAGAATTTAGAGTTTTAGGTTCAAAATAGTCTGAAATTTATCATTCCGGCTCAAATTAATCATCTCCACTTGGATAATTATAAACATAAAAGAAAATTACTTCAGCTCTAAAAATATTGTATCAAACAACGTATTATTTAGACCGTCTATTTCTGTGTTTACCAGATTTGCTCCAACTTCATCTTTTTTGAGCATCAACTTTCGCCCAAAAAATAAAGAAAAAAAAAGTAGGAGAGTTCAAGAGGAAGAAAAAGAAAAGAAGTAGTATTTGTTAACTCTTCAAGAACCCTAAATTAAAACAAATATCAATGAGCAAGATACAGAGGGAGAAAAGGAGTTGGACAGGGTGGAATAAATAGGGGGATTTGGATTTCCAATGAAATCAGGTGGACCCGCCATTTGCTTGGACTTTGGTGCCCCGATATCCTGCGGATCCTTTCTATTGTCTTTGTAAGATCTTGCCATTTAATCCTATTTCTTTTTGGAGAGTGATAGCTGCGGACTATAGTGTATCTTACTACATAAGGTAAAACTGTTATTAGGTAAATTTTAGGATCTACCCAATCACTACTAGATTATTATTTGAAAAATATAGTTTAAATTTTTAGTTTTTAAACATATTGGAGACTATATATCTATATGAAATGTGCTACTGAGATGAGGATGTTGAGATGGATGAGTGGCACGATAAGAAATGATATAATATGAAATGAATACCTGTGAGAGAACTTAGATGTGATTTCAATAGGTGATAAAGAAAAGAAAAATAGACTTCCATAAGCTCACAATATACAACTTAGACCTAATATAAAACAGTTTAGGAGGGGTAATTTGGTTCAAATGGAAGATTCTAAAAAGACAAGGGGAAGGCCTAAAAAGAGATAAAGATTGAAATAGTAAAAGAGATATGGTAACTTATAGCCTAACTAGGGGGTAATACCCTTAATTGGGCACAACGGCATAAACAAGAGCCAACCCCAAAATAGTTGGGATATGATGAAATACATTGATCTGACTCTAAAGATTGGATAGTTTATATTCCATTCTCATGATGTTATTTTTTATGAGGCACATAAGGGTGCAAGATTAATTTAATTTTTTATGCCTTTTCAAGGTTTGTCATGTTCCAAAATTGGTTTAGCCCAAGAAAGTGGATGGGGGGAAATGGTGTAGCTGGATCCTTGGATCTTTTACTTTTTGATACATATGCTTCTTGATTCTTCTTTGTTATTTATTCCCTTACCTTTGTTTATATGGTGTGCCTTTGGGACCGACCCCCACCCATCCCCCTTTACCCTTTTGTTTTATAATAGTAGCAAATCCACAAAGAAAATCCTTTTTTTCTTTGTTTTTTTACCCAAGTCGCTCATTTGGATATATGTAATGGTAATTTACTATTACTATCATGCTCCTATGGATATTTCTAAATTTCGTGTCAACGTTCAATTAAGGCATGACGTGAAGAGTTTTTGGTTTTGAAAATGTCGATCACGTTCCCCAAAATTGTCTAAATGGGATGATTTTGGGGGCCCATTTTATATCTTGACCAAATCATGCTATTCTCAATTCTGATATAAGGGCATAGAAATTTAGTAGGAATGCTTCCAAGCTTAACATTCAAAATTTCTATGAAATAAAACTAGGGGTGGCAATAGGCCAACGAGCCCGAGCCAAATAGAATATTTTAAAAAAGAAACCTAGAAA